AGTGAAAAGTAGTACAGGCAGATCATAGTATACAAGGACGTATAGATCATAGGGTGCTTAGACAGAGCAAGGCAAACAGGTTACACTGCACAGGAGGTGCACAGAGCAAGATCAACAGTAGGTTTGAAATTAGAGAGGTCCATTCGTTTGTCTAATAACAGCGGAGAAGAAGCTGCTCTTGTATCTGATGGTGATGCGTATGTTTAAATTTCTGTATCGTCTGCCTGATAGAAGGGGTTGGAAGAAATTATAATAGTGGGAGGGGTCTTTGATGATGTTGACAGCCTTTCTGCAGCAGTGAGCCGTGTAAATGGATCCCATGGATGGAAGGTTGGCTTCTGCAATGGTCTGGGCTGTGCACACCACCTTCTGTAGTTTCTTACAGTCCTGGGCAGAGCAGTTACCATACCAGGCCGTTATGCACCTGGACAGTATGTTTTCAATGGTGCATCTGTAGAAGTTGGTGAGGGTCCTTATGGACATGTAAAATTTCCTGAGCTGCCTGAGGAAGAAGAGGTGTTGTTGTCCTTTCTTGACTGTCACATCTACGTGGGAAATCCAGGACAGGTTGTTGGTTATCGTCACTCTGAGGAACTTGATGCTCTCCACCCAGGTTTTGTTGGTGTAGATGGGGGGCGTGTTCTCCACTCCACTTCCTGTAGTCAATGATCAGTTCTTTAGTTTTACTGACATTGAGAGAGAGGCTGTTCCCATCACACTACATCACCAAGCTCTCTATCTCCTTTCTGTTTTCTGACTTGTCATTGCTTCATATCCAGCCTACATCCAGTCTAAAACTAGGGACAGCATAAGGTTAGACATAGAGGAAGGCTCCCGGTACACTGGCCGCCATCAAACACTCCCAGGGGCAGGGACAGCACGGGGTTAGATACAGAGTGAAGCTCCCTCTACACTGTCCCCCCCATCAAACCTCCCCAGGACAGAGACAGCATGGTGTTAGATACAGAGTAAAGTGCTCTCTATGTGATCTGAGATAACACAGTGTAGAGCTGGATGAACACAGCAGTCCAGGCCCAACCCGAAACGTCAGCCTTCCTGCTCCTCTGATGCTGCTTGTCCTGCTGTGTTCATCCAGCTGTACACCTTGTTATCTCAGATTCTCCAGCATCGGCAGTTCTTACTGTCTCTACTTGACCAGAGTGTGATTGGCAGCCGGGCTAATCACTGTGTTGTGTTTTTAGTGAAAGAATTCTCGGGCTGTGAAAAGCAGACACTGGGGAATCTGTCTGTCGCCAAACGACAGTTCTCCCTCTCTCTCGCTTTCTCTCCCTCTGTCTCTCTCTCTCGCTTTCACTCTCTCTGTCTCTCCTTCTGTCTCTCTCTCTCGCTTTCTCTCCCTCTGTCTCTCTCTCTCGCTTTCACTCTCTCTGTCTCTCCCTCTGTCTCTCTCTCTCACTTTCACTCTCTCTGTCTCTCTCTCTCGCTTTCACTCTCTCTGTCTCTCTCTCTCGCTTTCACTCTCTCTGTCTCTCCTTCTGTCTCTCTCTCTCACTTTCACTCTCTCTGTCTCTCTCTCTCACTTTCACTCTCTCTGTCTCTCCTTCTGTCTCTCTCTCTCGTTTTCTCTCCCTCTGTCTCTCTCTCTCGCTTTCACTCTCTCTGTCTCTCCTTCTGTCTCTCTCTCTCGCTTTCTCTCCCTCTGTCTCTCTCTCTC